CTACATCTGTGTTGTAGCTTATGTAGGTACTGTTGTTCTATACATCTCCTGTGTTGTAGCTAGATGTATAGAACAACAGTACCTACATCTTGTGTTGTAGCTAGATGTATAGAACAACCGTACCTACATCCTGTGTTGTAGCTAGATATATAGAACAACAGTACCTACATCTTGTGTTGTAGCTAGATGTATAAAACAACAGTGTCTACATCTTGTGTTGTAGCTAGATGTGTAAAACAACAGTATCTACATCTTATGTTGTAGCTAGATGTGTAAAACAACTACCTCCATCTTGTGTTATAGCTAGATGTATAGAACAACAGTACCTACATCTTGTGTTGTAGCTAGATGTATAAAACAACAGCACCTACATCTTGTGTTGCAGCTATATATAAAACAACAGCACCTACATCTTGTGTTGCAGCTATATATAAAACAACAGCACCTACATCTTGTGTTGCAGCTATATATAAAACAACAGTACCTACATCTTGTGTTGTAGCTAGATGTATAGAACAACAGTACCTACATCTTGTGTTGTAGCTATATATAGAACAACAATACCTACATCTTGTGTTGTAGCTAGATGTATAGAACAACAGTACCTACATCTTGTGTTGTAGCTAGATGTATAGAACAACAGTACCTACATCTTGTGTTGCACCTATATATAGAACAACAGTACCTACATCTTGTGTTGCACCTATATATAGAACAACAGTATCTACATCTTGTTGTAGCTAGATGTATAGAACAACAGTACCTACATCTTGTGTTGTAGCTAGATGTATAAAACAACAGTACCTACACCTTGTGTTGTAGCTAGATGTATGGAACAACAGTACCTACATCTTGTGTTGTAGCTATATATAAAACAACAGTGCCTACATCTTGTGTTGTAGCTAGATGTATAAAACAACAGTACCTACATTTTGTGTTGTAGCTAGATGTATAGAAGAATAGTACCTACATCTTGTGTTGTAGCTAGATGTATAGAACAACAGTACCTACATTTTGTGTTGTAGCTAAATGTATAGAACAACAGTACCTACATCTTGTGTTGTAGCTAGATGTATAAAACAACAGTACCTACATGTTGTGTTGTAGCTAGATGTATAAAACAACAGTACCTACATCTTGTGTTGTAGCTATATATAGAACAACAGTACCTACATCTTGTGTTGTAGCTAGATGTATAGAACAATAGTACCTACATCTTGTGTTGTAGCTATATATAAAACAACAGTACCTACATCTTGTGTTGTAGCTAGATGTATAAAACAACAGTACCTACATCTTGTGTTGTAGCTAGATGTATAGAACAACAGTACCTACATCTTGTGTTGTAGCTAGATGTATAAAACAACAGAATCTACATCTTGTGTTGTAGCTAGATGTATAGAACAACAGTACCTACATCTTGTGTTTTAGTAAAGTGTGTAGAACTGTTATTTTCTAATATAAGTTATTATAACATTGTAAAGTAAGTGCTTATTAATATGCTCAAGTATAGTATTTGTGTTATTTTAATGGCCAGTTTTATAAACATAAACGTATGACCAGATATTTCTATTAAAGTAAATAAAATAATAACCTAAATTTTTAGAATGTATATTTATTGGTCCAATATTTCACTATTGCAGCTAATTCAGTTGAAAGTTATATGTAGAACAACAGTCTCTAAATCGTGTGTTTGTATTACTGGTAGATTTACAAAACAATAATTATGAGATAAATGTCGTTATTTTAATATAATTAATAGAAGTGTTATTTAAACTCTGTGGTTGTTGATGAGATGTTTATTTGATACATCTGTGATAACTTATGTAGAAAAAGTTAGAACAGAAGGCTGCAGAAAATGTAAAAAAATCTGAAGAACAAAGAAGGAAGCAAATCCTTGAACGTCAAAGGTTAGTTGACAAAATATAACTACGTTGAACAGTTGTCTGTGTTCTAACATTAATACTACTTTTTTACTTAGTATTATCACGTTGTCTCGTGTTTTAATGTATATTGGCAGAAACAACAATGTTCTAACATTAATACTACTTTGTAATTGATATTTTCATGTTTTAATGTATATTTGCAAAAATATTTCTCAATTTTGAACATTTGTTTATGTTCTAAGATTAATACTGTTTAATCGGTATTTTCATGCTTTGTTTTTTAGTTTGTAGTAGTAAAAATAACAATGTTTAATTCTTGTTCGAAGAGTAATACAATTTTATTTGTAATTAATATATCAGCACTGTTTTATGTTACATTTATCTGCGGAACACGACAGAGACCTAGCCAACTTTCAGGAAAGTGAGTGGTCTTCGATGTCTATGTTAGAAAGAGAACTAAAGGAGATGGAAGCACACTTAGACCAACAGTTTGGACAAACTGAGGACTCTGGTGAAGGTCAGTGAAGCTCATTAAAATTAAGCACTGTAATATCTTTGAATGACAGAATCTCCACTTGAATGTATTTTTTTAATTTGTAGAAAGAAGGCTATTGAATACTTGTCAGATGATAAGTTAGTTTACGTTATTTTGCTTTTGATAGTAAAATACAAGTGGGATATTAAAATCATACAATAAAGTAATAAAACACTAATACTTTTGATAGACGTGGTCAAACTAAATTTATATTTATAATGCTCATCTTTAATTTTAACCCTTACACCCCTTCATAGCTAACCTGTTTTTTCACTTGCAGCCATCCTTAAGGAACATGTCTATCTTGAATATTCAAAAATGTAGTTTTAAAATTTTTCCACATCTGATGATAGATTTAGAGGAATATAGAAGATTAAGAAAGTTAGTCAGACAGGAAATCAAAAAGAATATGAAAAAAGATTGGCTGAAGATTAATAGTAAAGATTTCTTTAAAAACATTAGGAGTAAGCAAAATGTTAGAATGGGGGGTAGGACCTTTGAAGGATGATACAGGAAAGACTAACATCTGATGATTATGGGGTGGCTAAGTTATTAAATTCTGCTTTTTCTTCAATTGTTACTAAGAAATATTTCTCATCCTGAGAAGTTGCCAGATGGAAACAAGGTTGACCAAGATTATCACAGTAATTTAAACTTGTTAAATTTATAAAGCTTTTTCTTTAATCTTATCCTTTACACCCTCCGTGAGTCAATCTGGTTTCTCACATTATACGTATAAAACCACTCCTCCCCCTCTCTTTAGTACTCTATCCCAATTAAACAACCTATAACCCTGTATTTCAAAGAAATTTCTGTTTTTAAAATTGTTCATATTTAACTAGATTTCAGTTATTCCCATAACAACAAAATCTTTTTTCTGCCCAGTACTCTAAACTCATCTGTTTTATTTTTTTAATATTACAACAATAACAACAGTTTAGCCTACCCATTAAACTACTTCTGTACCTTTGTTCCTACAGTACGCTTTTCTCTATACTTTACATTTTCTTCATTCACGTTATTCCTGTTTAGTCCTACTTTAAAGTTGCCCTTATAGTTTAATTAATATCCTTTGCAAAACAAGCCAGCCCCTACCCTGTTTACATCCATCCATCGGAAAAAGATCCCTTTCCACTTGGACTGATCCCATAAGCCTAATGCGTTACATGTCAGAGGTAACCACTTTGTAACAAGATGTAAAAGAAATTATTGTTATACCAACAATGTTCCATGCATACTTCTGAGTAAGGAAGATATATATATATTTTTTTTACATTAAGAACAAGAAAATACATTTATAATACTATTAGGTCATCAAGAAATTAATGTAGTGTTTTGGAACTTTTTCATTAACCTCCACACAAACACACAAATGTACATGACATATAATAGTTAAATGAACCACCTAAACGTCATGTTAGTGTAGCCTATGTAAATGTGTAATGTGTAAAGTTTAGTGTAGTCCAATCCCTTATAGTGATGGCATACAATGAGACACAAATTCGGCATGTAATGCTGTTTGAATACAAGAAGGGAAACAACGCCTCTGTAGCCACAAAGAGTATCAAAGAAGTTTATGGAAATGTTTTGAACGTTCGTAAGTGTCAACAATG